CATCTCATATTCTATGCCCCTATTGGGGCGGCACAATATGGATAGGGGTTCCCCTGTCAGATTTGTATGCTATGGGTAGGGGTACCCCTGTCAGATTTGTATGCTATGGATAGGGGTACCCCTGTCAGATTTGTATGCTTTGGGTAGGGGTACCCCTGTCAGATTTGTATGCTATGGATAGGGGTACTCCTGTCAGATTTGTATGCTATGGGTAGGGGTACCCCTGTCAGATTTGTATGCTATGGGTAGGGGTACCCCTGTCAGATTTGTATGCTTTGGATAGGGGTACCCCTGTCAGATTTGTATGCTTTGGGTAGGGGTACCCCTGTCAGATTTGTATGCTATGGATAGGGGTACCCCTGTCAAATTTGTATGATATGGATAGGGGTTCCCCTGTCCGATTTGTATGTTATGAGTAGGGGTTCCCCTGTCCGATTTGTATGTTATGAGTAGGGGTACCCCTGTCAGATTTGTATGCTATGGGTAGGGGTACCCCTGTCAGATTTGTATGCTATGGATAGGGGTACTCCTGTCAGATTTGTATGCTATGGGTAGGGGTACCCCTGTCAGATTTGTATGCTATGGATAGGGGTACCCCTGTCAGATTTGTATGCTATGGATAGGGGTACCCCTGTCAGATTTGTATGCTTTGGGTAGGGGTACCCCTGTCAGATTTGTATGCTATGGATAGGGGTACCCCTGTCAGATTTGTATGATATGGATAGGGGTCCCCCTGTCAAATTTGTATGTTATGAGTAGGGGTACCCCTGTCAGATTTGTATGTTATGAGTAGGGTTACCCCTGTCAGATTTGTGTCTCTAGAAAAGGGTTTTAGGTTGGGGGGGTTGATAAAAGAGTAAAACCACAAAGTAAAATCACAGATACTTTATTAAAAAAATATTACAAAATATTAAAGAATATGGACATGAAAAATCTTTATTTGAATTTGCATATGCAGTGCAATTAAAAAAAAGCTATAAGACAGCTTGTGGAGCCATTGAGTCCAATTTTTAGAAGGTAAAGCTCCAAAAAACTGAAAGTAGTCCAGAAGCTGTGTCCCCTGCACTCTTGCCAGGTATTTATTTTTGATGCATACAGTAGTCTAGGGCAGTCAAAGAGTGCCGTCATCTAGAAGTCAAAAAGTAAAAGTTGTTAATAATTTTATATAATAGGTCACTCTGCTTGATGTTCTTAAAGCCCACTTGGAACCTCTAGAGTTATTCCTGTAAGTCGGCTGCATATACAGAAATAAATATTTTCTCCGGGAGCAAGACACTGCTGATTGGAGCACTGCGAGCTGGAGACTCGGGCTGCTGTTCTCCATATGGAGCAGCGATCTGACTCTCTAGCTTGCTGCTAGAATGGGGTATTTTAACCCGTGCCGGAGCACGTAGTTACCCAACCAAACAAAACAAAAAGACGCGCATTGCTCTTGCTGCATATACATCCTGACTGCATTGCAAAAATAAATATGGAGCTTCAATTGAACTTCATACTCAGGTGAAAGTTTGCTTTTTAATGTACAATATGGAACAAAGTTCATATACAGTTTTAACAGTTCCAAGCTCGATATTGAATGGTGGCAAATCCAACATTCAAATTAAAAAAATACCATTTTGTTCGATAGACAATACAGTGCACATGATTCTGTAATATGGCTTACAGTTTTCTAGACAAGTAAGTCAGCATACACTATTTGCCATACACTAGAATTAACATACAATATGTTTTTGGCTTTTTTTCCATGAAATAATTGACGCTCTGTTACATAGTATTTGAGGTTGAATAAAGACATTAGTCCATCAAGTCCAACCTATTAGGATCTCATTCTAGGAGTACCCGTACCCCTGTATATTACGGTCCCTTAAGAAATCGTCCAAAAGTTTCTTGAACAATTCCACATTATTTGCTGAAATCACCGCCTGTGGCAGTGAGTTCCAGACCCTAACTGATCTTACTGTGAAGAACCCCCTTCGCCCCTTGTGCTGGAATTTTTTTTCCATCAATTTTAGGTGATGGCCTCTAGTTTTTGTAACGGAGTTAATTTTAAACAGTTTATCGCTAATTCCCTCCCCCGCCTTCTAACAGTAACCCATCTACCCACCTCTGGATCCCGCTGCTCCAACCCCCCCTCCTCAGCCTGACCCCCCTCCACGACAGCCTGGTGCGTTAAGTCCAGACTCTTTTCCATGTTGTTTATGCTCCTCAGTGTTGCCAGTTTGTTGCTTAGATCCAGAATCTGGGATTCCAAACAGACAACTCGCTCACATCTAGCACAATTGTATTCCCCCTCGAACGCATGTTCAAGGAACGCATACATTGCACATGACATGCACCTGGTTGCATACCCACTCATGGAAGACATTATTTTATTCCACTCTTATTATTTATTTATTTTTATTTTTAGTGTATATTAGGGATTATATAAGATTAATTGTTTAACTGTAGTTTTATTTTCTAGGGTTTAGTGGATCACGAGTGGCCTGTTCAATAACTTGTTTGTTAAATTAAATAATTTAAATTAAATTAGATTAAGATAAATAAATATATCTATGTTCTATAATCTCAGTCCCTTTTCCAACAACTTCAAGTCCATGGATTCCAGTGACTCCAGACTGTGCCGGAAACAGAGGTAAAAATTCATTTTTTTATACAGATCTCTAAAACATTTAGCAATTTACACTTGACGGTTGTGTAAATATATAATCCTGCACATGCAACAACATCACTCAAAGCTCCATGATCAGATTTCATGGCATAAATATTGGATGAGCTTTATTATGTCATCTCAAAGCAGCTGCATTTCACTTGATGTACTTGGGCAAATTAGTTAGTGTTGTAGGCTTGATTTTGGATGTGACATCTGCTCACCGGCTTCCCACTGACATCTTCAGTCACTGGAATGGGCAGTGGAAGTCTCTTATTACCGACTTCCTTTATGGTGCTCTGCAAAGCAAGTCAGTAGTGGAAGGCTACCGCTGCCCAGTGTAGTCATTGTAGATAGTACAGAGCCCATGAGCAGCTGTCACATCCAAATGTCCCGCATCTGTCAGATACAAGGGTCCCACTGAGCCCACGAGCAGCCGTCACATCCAAGGGTCCCACTTTGATAGATTTTGGAAAGTGGTGGCAGACAGTTTGTGATGTGGCTGAGGGTCTAACCTAGAGAATTGGTCGGCAGACACATGTACCATTGTTCAGTTTTATTGTTTCTCCAAAGACCCAATCCCATCTTCATGTTTAATTGTTAATTAGGACATTTCTGTAGCTTGTAATAAAATACTGCTGTGGCCCCTAAACTGCGATCTAAGGCTGATTTGTAGTTATTCTGGATTGTGGCTGGCTAAGCTCGCTATTATTTTATCATTTGGCTTAATATTGTTTTGACTTTGTATAGATATCTTGATTTTGTGTCGTGCTTTATATCACATTCAGAGCAGGCTTTCGGTATTATATAGTAACCATTTATCCACATAGCTGCTTGAAACATTGTGGTTTTTATACTACCTATGCACAATTTAATATCACTAATTAGTAGGTGTTTCTACTTCTTGCCCACCATCATACTCGCCAATGACTAGGGCGGTTCTGCATTAATGTGTCCCTTCTGTGAAAGAGCCAGAATGTGGGTTCCCAGACCTCCCCTGGATCTTGGTCCAATCACACGTCCTCTAAGGCCTCCCCTGGATCTGGGTCCAATCATACATCCTGTAAGGCCTCCCCTGGATCTTGGTCCAATCATAAATCCTCTAAGGCCTCCCCTGGATCTTGGTCCAATCATACATCTTCTAAGCTCTCCCCTGGATCTTGGTCCAATTATAAATCCTCTAAGCTCTCCCCTGGATCTTGGTCCAATTATAAATCCTCTAAGCTCTCCCCTGGATCTTGGTCGAAACATAAATCCTTTAGGGCCTCCCCTGGATCTTGGTCCAATCATAAATACTCTAATCTCCTTTCCCCATCTTCTGATCATCTTGATCAGGTGATCTTGATCATCTAAGACATAGAACATCTCACACTTGACTGAAAAACACTCTGTAACTTTTCCCAGCACTGGGGGGGGAATTTCTGTAATTTTTGTGATAATGAAATAGCTTTGGGAGTTAACAAATGCTGGAGGACAAGTACAAAAATAGCAAAAAAGTGGTAATATGAGTTGCCTGGTATGTTTAAAATGCATTCAAACATTTCAGGTTTGTGAAGTAAATTGTTTAAGCCAAAAAGGGAACTCATAATCACAATCATCATAGTTATAAGAAATGGTAGTTCTGTTGCAATGGCCAGTAATGTATTTCCTGGGGACAACGCTTACTCCATGTACTGTCCCTATGGAGGAGCAGTAACCCGACTACAAGAGTTAATAATATTTTTTCCTAGCGTACCTATTTAACGCTTAATCAATAGGCCCGGAGCAGAAATAAAAAAATTGCTTTGTGAGGTGTGAGAGCTGATTTGGTTAAAGGAGGCATATTGGGAGAGTAAATTATACTTTTTCCAATACTTAGAGCCGGGATGGGACACTGCAGCCGTCACATGCCGGCATTCTACTAAGAGCAAAGTGATCATGTAAACGTTGATCGCTCAACTCACAGTCTCCTCCCTCTGCAGGGATTTCCCCCTCCCTTCTCTGTTCCTCCAACACTCATTGGAGGGACAGACAGGGGAGGGGGTGGGCACAGCTGGCTCTAGAGAGGCAAAGCCAGCTCTCAATCTGGCGATATTGTTGGGATTCTTCCAGGCTGTGACCCAAAAGAGGAGTAAAGCCCAAAACAAGGCTTGGCTTTGAGTCTCTTTTAGTAAGGTGAAATTGTTTGTGCAATGTGTAGTCATTCATAACAACAATTCAGTTTTCTTTATCCCAAACATATTAATTACAATGACCATTTCTTTCAGGATCGTCTCTTACATATCTCGTGGACACGACAGGATCCATGGGGGACGATATGTATTATCTGAAGTTGGCAAATGGTTGGCTTCTAGATCGTATCATTGCTAGATTCCCCTGCGGCATCAGACAGTACACTATGGTGGAGTTCAATGACCCAAGTAATAACCATTTTACAAGTTAAAGCTGCCCCATGAAATTGTGGTGGGCTAAGAGTTTTGGTGATGGTTTTGTCTTCAAATCATGCAAGAGATTACATTCAGCAAGCCTAAAACTGCTATTTAAAGCTGAACTCTGGGCAGTTATAAAAGGCACAAATAACTGCAACCAGATGGCGGGGGCTTTTTATCACTTTTTACGAAATTTTTGATATTTTTGTGTTTTTACTTTTTTAGATTTTTATTTATCTCATAATTTTTTATAATTTTCTTGATCTTATTATTTTTACACAGGAGCTAGCTAACAAGCCTCTGTGTGATAGCCTTTGGGGGTGACAGGTTCTCTTTAATGAACCTGTCACCTCCAATACAGGAGTTCTAGCACAGCATTTTGCTGGAACTCCTGTGACAGCTGAGATGGGAAGGCTGCCAGTGCAGTTCTCCTGTCTCAGTGTTCATACGGAGCAGACCGGACGGACGTTCTCGGCTCTGCTCCCCGCTCTCCATCCTGAAGATCTCCATCTCTGGAGAGAGGCAGCCAGCGAGGAGAGAGGTAGACTGTGGGAGGGGGCATTGGGGGGAGGACGGGAGGAGATAACTTGTACAAAACGAGCGGCGGCTTCCCCGCTCTACAATTAGCTCTGCTTGCCCAAAGCAGAGCTAAATGTAGAAAACAACTACCCGCCCGGCACCCAGAACTCCCTATCCCGGGCATCGGGAGATAGGAATTCTACACCCCTGCCGCCCCTTTGCTCTCTGGTCGCCCCGAGGCTGGGGCTCGGTTGGCCTTGAGGGAAATTTGGCCCTGATTTTAAGGAACCTAGACTCTAAGTCCGAGCCATTAAAAAACCAAGCAAATCCCTTCTCTATTCAGAACTAGACAATACAAAATGCTATTATATACACACATGTAAATGGAGCGAACTTTGTGACTTTAGCATATCCGTTTTATAAATGACAAGATCAGCTTACTACATGATTTTACTTGCTGCTTATTGCGCAATTTTTAATTTACCAGAATGAAAAAAAAATAATATCTCATTGTTTTCTATGTCTTGTATTTCTTTTTAAGCTGTTGGCCCTGTTAGGATAACATATTCAAAAGACGAGTTTGCTTATTTCTTCAATAACCTCGAGGCCTATGATGGGGGCGACTGTCCAGAACTGGCAATAGCGGGACTGAAGCTGGCTTTGGAGAACTCGCCAGATAAATCTTTCATTTTAGTACTGACGGATGCATCCGCATTAGATTATAATAATGCTAGTCTTGTAAATGAAGTATACCGTCTTTTAGATACAACCCAGTCACAGGTAAGATGAATGCTAAACAGTTACCTGTATATAAGCTTTTACACAAACGCTGCTTTTTTTATGTTTTAAGGGAGAGATGTTGATGAATTTATATTTTATGGTGATTCTGGGGGGCAGGTCTTAGTATCAGGACTAAGACCCAAGACTGCTCACCCACTTGAGCCATCACATGGAGTTTTAATTCTCTCTGTAAGATTTTTCTTTCATGATGGCTGTTTTAAGAGGTAGAAGGGATGTGTGTGATGTCTACAACATAAAGTCAACATAAAGTCAAATTTGATTTGTTTTTACAGCTGCTTAGTAGATAAATAAAAGCTAGTAGATTTGAAATGTAGTATAACATAGGTTACTATAACTAGCAGCTATATGGGCCCCCAGGACTGGGTTGGAGGGAAGGTGGGCAGTTAAAGGAGAACTATGGGGTAAGAGTTTTTCCCCATAGTTCTCCTAAGGTTCAAGGGAAGATACAAACTAGTGTCCTCCTGTGACCCAAAGCTTAGTATATAGCGAGCTACAGTTCGCAGGATACTGAGACCGCCGAACCCGGGACAGATCCCGACATTACTGTCGAGATCCACCCAGCTGCGTGATTGACAGCTGGCTCTGTCTATCCAGAGGCAGAGCCAGCTGTGCCCGCCCCCTCCCCCGTCCGTTCCGCCAGTCAGCGCTGGAGGATCGGAGCGCGGAGGGGGATCCCTGCACATGATAGAGAGAACTTGGGAGCACCAGTCCTGCTGCCTCCACGTTCCACAGTTGCTTCATTCCTCCAACCCACATTCCCCTGGTACATCAGAAAATATTTCTGCTACGTGGTTTGCTAGGGGACTCAGAGGTCTGTCCTGGTCTTAATCCAGCAGAGGGTATGGGGGCCAGAAGAAGACCATAATACAATAGTTGCAACCTCAGTTGGAACCTTATCATTTGTTAAAGTAAGCTAAATTGTAAGGTGTTTGCAAACCACAAGAACCTCCACCACTGAGCTCTGTGGGAGCAGCACACGAGAGAGAGAACTTGTCAGCAATAGTCCCTCCGCTTCCACCTTCTTTAGTTAATTGATCCCCAAAACCAATATTCCCCTGGTTCATCGGAACATATTTGCTGCATGGTTTCTTAGGGGACTCAAAGCTCTGTCTTGGTCTTACTTCAGCAGAGGGTAAGGGGTCCAAAAGAAGACCATAATGCAAACCTCATGCACATTTGTTAAAGGAAACTGAATTATTAGGATTATTTTAATAAGGTTTGGCAAACCACGTGCAACTCCACCACTGAGCTCTATGTCCCACCATCTCCTCTTCAGTTGCTTCATCCCCCAACCCACTTTCCCCTGATGCATCAAAACATGCCTCTATTGGTTTGCTAGGGGACCCAGAAGTCTGTCCTGGTCCTTCTCAGCAGGGGGTAAGGGGGCCAGACAAAGAACATATTTCCCAACCCACCATCTCCAGTAGCAATCTTTATCTACCAGGCTTCTCCTCCCCAGATACTGGAGCTGGAAACAAATTTCCTCTAACTACCCTCATTCCCAGCACCTAAGTGCATTTTTGTCCCTGACACTGGAATTTATCAATACCAGCCAGTGGAGACATCCCTCTTTCAAAGTTTCTGGCAGGGGCAGCCCCACAGTGGTGAATACCCAGCCACCAAGATATTTCTCAGAAGGACAGGATTGGAATTTAGATGCGAGTTCTAGTCAAACATTCACTTTTGTTTTCATTTTTGTTATTTGAGGGAATTTTTGTTCAAATCAAAACTTTGAAGTTAGTAACACCATCAAATGTTCAAATAGGGACTTTCATTGCCATTTGGGTGAAAATGGCTTTCCCAACAGCCCTTCATTGATGGCTAAAAGATTTACATCAAAATACGTCCCCTATTAATTTCAATGTAAATTATTAGCAAATTTGCAATGGTTTTTGAATACAGAATTGGAGACAAACAAAGATATATAGATTATTTCAACAGTTTCTCATTTTAAAATATTATCTTGCTTTGTAGTTAAAGTGTAAATCCATTTTTGTTGAGAAAAAAAAAAACATTCCCCTCTGGGTGATCAATGCACATTGGAAGGATTTTGGCAAACTTTATTGCAGATTTCTATCTTTTTTCTGATGTGAAGAAAATGCTGTTTGTTTCACCTATTATGTTGTCCTTTCCAGATGGTATTGTGTGTGTTCATTATACCCAACTGGTGTTCTAATCAGGCAAGTTGCAGTGTCGGCATCCCTTAGGGAGTATTTCCCCAAAAATGAAACTCCTGTTGCAGGGGATGCCAACATTTTTACTCTCATCTTAGTGCAGAGTTCTGGGAAAATCAGTCAGCCAATCACAGAAGCAGGAAATGGCATCTCCAGGGGTATTCCATACACCAGCTGTGTACAGAACACCTCCTCCGGGTTCCCATATTGCATTGAATTGTTTGAACAGTTTAAGACAATTACAGCCGTTTCAGATTAAAATGGAAAGGTCATTTTTCAATAACATTAAAATTCAAAATGACCTGGGTAGCAATGAAAATGTTGGAAATCTAATTTTACATTTTTCATTCATTAGTCTTTCATATATCTACTCTTGTCCTTCTGTTTTAGGTTTTCTTTGTGGTGACTGGACTTTGTGGCTCTCTAAATGATCCGGATTTCCTTATTTATAGAGACATAGCATCAAGGAGCTTTGGACATGTCTTTCAAGTCAATGCAGCTGATTTAAATATAGTGAGTATCTATGTATTTATCATTATTTCTCAGTTTTATAGATAACAATTTAAATTATTAAAATGTAACTTATAGAGATTTTCTATATACCGTTTTTTTCGCTCCATATGGCGCACCTGACCATAGGACATAGGGAGGGGAGGGTTCTGTGCGGTTCCTGACAGCTGAGACAGGTGGTGCTGTGATTACAGCGCCACGGTTTTATTAAATTACCTGTACAAAAAAACAAATGCAAAAAAGTGTCCATCAACAAGATATTATTTTAAGAGTCACGTGTAGAAACCTACAATAACACAGTGAAGTTATCCAACTATGGAAGGCGTGTGCCAGTGTTTCACTCTATACATCAGAAATGTCACAAGCGCACCAATGGATAATGTCCAAAATAAAGCGTAGTTTATTCACGCATATTGTCACATCAAGAATGCAACATTTCAGGGGCCACGCATGGTCCGCTTCATCAGGCTTAACACATCCAGGTGGTCAATGAATGAACTTTAAGTGCAAAACCGTGCTCCCGTATCCACACTTCAGTTCTGCTCACCTTCCAATGAGGACCATAACCAAAATATTTTATTATGGTCGCTCGTGCCTTCCCTGTGGGGACAATGATCCGCTTAACCAGTAGAGGATATCTCCCGCCCCCTCTGGTAATACTGCGCTCAGAAAAGGAGATGATGACACACAGGGTAGTCCCATTTTAGAACCATTCATTCGAGAACAAAAAGCTAGTCACACATAAAATTTTATTTTCCGACCCAATCCTGACAGTGATCCCCCATCCACACAACCAAAAAGATAAGGAAGACAGCTCGCCATGTAACCAGTCGGCGCTTTCACCGCTCAATGCCGATTACCTAGTGTCTCCTCACACTTCCGGGGGTAACGTCGCCAAGCTCCACAAGCTGTAAGGTGGCAGCTCTACAAACACAAGGTTGCGTATCCAGTTGACTGTCTATGGCAGGGGTGTCAAACTCAATTCACATCACATGTAGGAGGCACTCTGTCCCCCTGCCTGCTGCCGACATGCTGATACAAGGTGGGGGCAGAGACGAGGTGGTGCCGCAGCTGCAGGAAAGGTGCAAAGTCCACACGAAATGGCCCGGTGGGACAGATTTGGCCAGCAGGCATTGCGTTTTTTGCACATGTGCGATAAGGTGAAAAAATATATTGTCAAACTATTAAAATGAGGAACATAAAGGCGTAATAAGGGTGGAGTAAACACAAAAATAACAATGTTACTCTGTATCTATCTCTTGTCTGAACAGTGTTTATGAACACTGTGTCAGAAGGTCCATTTTTGGACCGCTGCAATAGCTGTTGTAATTACACAGCAACTCCTGGCTATCAAAATGACAGCCAGGAATTTCTGGCAAATGTGAAGGGGAGCAGTAGCAGGAGAGAAATACAGGATGCAATATATACACCCTCTGTACTTTGATGAAGGATTTTTGGGCATGTGAGCCCCATATTTATTACTGTATATGCAGCTTATCTGCCTTACAGTTATTAATAGTGTAGCAAGGTTTAATTAGGTTTTAAGAGCTTTAATATTATATCCCCCTGAATTTATACAAAACCCCTCGGGTGATTACTGTTTGCACTACCAATTATTATGTTGTGTTTACAGGTGTTCAATTACTTGGACTTCACACTGTCAAAGCCGGTAAACAATTCCAAAGCTCTATTCTCCGGAGACTATGAAGATGGAAAGAATTCCGATAGTTTTACGGTTTCCGATAACTTCACTTCTTTACTGGTGACATCAGATGGAGTGATTTCCTCTCTGGAAATATCAGGACCTGACAGTAAGACGAGTTTTGTTTATTTTTTATTCTTTTTAGTGCCTGTTTATGAAACAAATTAGGAAATAGTAGGCCATTCTGGGGCCTTTAGATTGTAAGCCCTCAGGGGCAGGGCCCTCCTTACCATCTTGTCTTGAATTGTATTGTGATTGTAATGTCTTCCCTATATTGTAAAGCGCTGCGCAAACTGTTGGCGCTCTATAAATCCTGTATGATAATAATAATTTGGCCATTCTGACAAACCAGATTTTGTGTTTTTAATTTCCCAAAATAAAAATAAAAGATTTGGTCATATAAAATTGGCCTTTCCTCACTTCCTGTCCTACTGATAATGTTTTACAGGAAGTGAGGAAGTGAGCTATAAACCTGTTTGATTCTTATTTCTGTATTGCTGTTGGAGAGTTCCCTTCACTTCCTGTCTGGTGAAACTATTGTAAACAGGACAGGAAGTGAGGTAGAACCTCTCTAGAGGAGCCTCAGATAGCAGTTCTAAATTTTCCCCAATTTATACAAAACCAGAAAAAATATTTTCAGCTTGACATGCACTTTAAAGTGGACATCCGCATTAGAATTCCTAAATGAAAGTGAAACAGCCATGTAATACATATACCTTTATAGCGTGAGAGGGGCTGAGCAACGTCATGAGTTGCATGGTGTTGCTGGTAATAGCCGGCGGGTTACCAATGCTGACTGTTGAACCAGAGAATCAACAGAAGTCAAATAACGTGTTATACATTTATCAAGGCACATGTGTCATACGGCTGTTTAACAATCATTGTGTAATTCTAGAGTGATATTTTAATAAGGTACACCACCCTTCATAATGAATGACTAAACCTGAACGTGAACAGTCAAACATTCACCAGCTTGATGAAGGACCTTTGCAGGGAAATTATTTCCTGACAGCCGAGCTGTGTCCTATTTTGCATATGACTTTGGGGATATGGCACGAACTTGTATCAATTATTTTATGCCATATAAAAAAATATGAGTAATCCACCATGGGCAATGGGCTGCTAATGCTCAAGGCGACCTGGTCAGCAGATCAAGATCTTAGTGGTAGCTTGAGTCCAGGAGACCTTTATCGGGTGATTGAACCGGTGTTGTGCATCCAAAACTAAACAATCAGGTTTTAAGTACCCACTCCTTAAAAAACTCCAAGCTTACCCCCGTGATGGGCTACAATCTCAATACAAATGAGTAAACTAAACATGAGATTGTAGTCCACTACAGGAGTGAGCTTGGAGTGGTGACTACTTTACAACACCCACAGGGAGCGTGGAGAACAAAAGTAGCCCCCCTCCAGAAGGAAGGACAGTGTTGGCACCAATTCAGAGATGGTTTGAGGATCTACAGCCGAGTGATACACAAATAAGATACATTTTCATTAATAGTTAAAGGAGAACTATGGGGTCAGGGCTTTTCCCCATAGTTCTCCTTAGGGTAACGGGAGGACACAAGCTAGCGTCCTCCGTCACCCTAAGCTCAGTATACCGCGAGCCACAGCTCGCGGTATACTGAGACGCCGCAGCCGGAGCGGACCCCGACATCGATGTCGAGATCCGCCCAGCTGCGTGAGTGACAGCTGGCTCTGCCTATCTAGAGGCAGAGCCAGCTGTACACGCCACCTCCCCCGTCCGTTCCCCCAGTCAGCGCTGGTGGATCGGAGCAGGGAGGGGGGAATACATCCCCTCCCCTGTCACGGCAGAGAGCCGTGACAGGATCGAGAATTGAGCGAACACCGGCATGTGTTCGCTCACCTCCCGATCTACTGAGACAACCTGTTACAGTCTCATTGTCACAGGTCGGCTAGAACTATGAGGTGAGTGAAAAGCACTCACCTCATAGTTATCCATTAAGGTCCTTGAATGTATTTTTAGGATTTACCTCCTGAGTTTAGTGTCACTTTAACACTAATTAAACAACTGCAGTTCTATATAAGAATCCGTATGGTTAGATTTGCATTGCCTAATGACACATTGTACCTCTTTCCTTCTGCAGCCTCTAAAGATATCAAGACACTTGTGAATGAGACCTGGGGTTCCATATACATCATAAAAGATCCTGTTAGAGGAAACTGGACCATTGAGGTTGAAGGAAGCGGAAAATATTCTGTTCGAGTGGAAGGATCTTATCGTAATTATAATTTTATTGCTTTATTATTTTATTGTACAAATCCAACATATTGTACAGAGAAGCATAGACCTAAGGACCCATTTGCACTTCTGCAACCATATCAATGTGCACCTTTTACCAGTGTAATGTAACCGCAACACACTGTAACAAAAGCGTTGTGGTGCCATTCATTATGCATGTTACCCCAATCCACTGTTAGCATAGTGGGGCAACATGCCAGCATGGCAACACACCATAACCAGTTACATGATTTGTGATCCCCTGCATTAAAAAAAGATGCATGTCTTATTTTTAGTGCGTTAAGGTATAAGTATAGATAATTTTTCTTTCTTAGAATAAAATAAAGTAAGGAAGGGTTATCTCTTGCTAAAAAAAAAAAAAAAGGTTAGAACCCCTATCAGGTTATCTCTCCTGAGAGTTTCCCTCACACCCTGTCGTGGAGATGCAACAGGTGAGAAGAAATTTCCCTCAAGTAAGAGAAGTTCCCATGTGTTGTCACCATGTCACCAGGACATTCATCATTTTTGGGAGATTTTTTCTAACCTGATAAACTCTTACAATTTAGGATTTCCCCTAACTTTGGTTACCAGGACATATCGAGAAGGAGAATCCACCTAGCAAGGTGTCACATACCTAACAGGAGACCAAAATGACAAGGCTTCTCTTGTATCTCCAGCCTGAGTTCTTCTGAAAGTGAGACAGATTGTGGTAAGGGACAGGAGGAACACAAGTGCCCGGAAGAACATGCGGGCAGGAGTGTCAGGGAACACCAGCAGACGTTATAGGAGATCTCTGGCTTGACAGTGGGTTCTGGCAACACCTGAAGGCAGATAGCAGGAACATTCCTGGAGATCCACAGTTGGTTCTTGGAGTGTGACAGGGTAGTTGGATGGGTAGCGAGGGACTCAAGTTAGAAGCAATAGCAAGTTGCAGAGCATGCCAAGGTCCACAACAAGCCTGCAGTCCAATACCAAATCATGAGCAGGACCAGGGTCAGAGACTAAGACGAGATCAGAAACTGGATAATATCTTGAAGGGAGCTTGAATACTTCTAAGGTGGACCTTACCCTCATATTCCTCTGTTTCTTTGGAGCGACCTTTTTTCAGAACAATTTGTGAGTGGGTTTGTCCCTACGACAAAGGGGGACAGACTGCATTTCTTCTCATTAACATACAATGTTTCTTGATTTTTAACCCTTTATTAGGACAGAGAGTGTTCAAATCTAGCTTACAACTGATAATGAGATCTGCCAGCACAGTACAGACAGGGTTCATTATGGTAAACATTAGCTCCCAACCCAGCTCAAGCCCCTTCATGGAACTTACAGAGAAGGGAAAACCTTTAGTTTTTGTAGAATAAGTAACAATTTTTAAGTATTTTTTTATGCTATGTGAACGGGAACATGCAACAAACATAAAATAAGTGTTGTGCCAATTTAGCTGCAAAAGTGGAAATAAGTTTTACAGTGTATATAGCCCTCACCTCTTACATACTGTATATTATAGGTAGAGTATTAGGTTTTCTCTAGGCTACAGATTTGCCAGGATTGTATAAAATCATCCGGGATCTCTGACCTGGACTGGAAAGTTTTTATGCAACACATCCCATGTCAATGAATCGTCAATCACATTTCTGCACAATCACCAGAAAGCCATTCATACTCTTCATACAGCACATTCACCAATGTAACATTCAGCTGCATTTGTTTAATAAAGTTAAGGATCTTAATTTTTCATTGTCTTAATTACATCTTAATGCATCTTTTATTTTCTCTTTTTCAGCTACAAATATATCAAGTAAGTGAAAATAATGCAACTGTGTACTCCTGCTCTTTAGAAAAATGACGCTCAGGAACTTCCTCTCTCTGCATTCATAAATTAAACCAAAACTAATTATAATAATAATATTGTAAACATTGGGGGGTCATAACTGCTGATAGTGAATTGTGCTAAAATACTGAACAGTGGCACAGAATCATTCCATGGCCCTTATGACTTTAGCCCACACTCATATATAGGTTTCCATGCTCCAGCAGAAGAATATATATGCAATTGTTATTGCAACTCAAATAGAGTCCAACCACGTTTGAAATCATATACTATAGAAGCCCTGATGAAAGGGGAGTATCCAAACATGTTGGCCTTCTATCAACAGGTTATTTAATAAACCATCACTGTGGACTCTTTAATCATTGGTGTGGCTCTCTTACTGCTTCTTGTATAACTAAGTCTTGGCAGATTCATTTGCTCATGTCTAATTGAACTTCAGGCCAATTCCATTAGAATTCCTTAGAATACCTATAGTAGTCATTTTTGCAGAAAGTATTTTGTATACATGATTGCAAACTTGATGTCTTTCCAAGAGACACATTTATCAAATAATATTAATCTCTTTAATCTTTATGTCTCAATCAGCTACTTTAAACTGCTCGAAATGTCACCCCGAAGCTACATGTGAAGACTACTTTGGCTACCTCCAATGTTCCTGCAAGGACGGGTTTATAGGAGACGGCTTTTACTGCTCTGATGTTGATGAATGCGCCTATTACTGGTCAAATAAATGCGGTTATTACACTTGTGTAAACACATATGGTTCATTCTACTGCACGTGTCCATCTGGCTACCACAATGACAGCGGAGCTGGATGTGTTGATATAGATGAGTGCTCTAACCCTGGACTTAACAACTGCACTGGAAATGCCACATGCACCAATACCATTGGCTCTTATACATGTGTGTGTGCCCCCGGTTACTTTGGGGATGGCTTCTCCTGTGAAGTGGATGAGTGTGCCCTTGGTGTTTGTGGTTCTGATATGGAATGCTCTAAATACTATGGTTCCTATTCTTGCCATGATCCATGCCTCACATACACTACACTTAGTGAACCATGGAGAAGCACTTCCTATACATATTCTTCTTCTTCTTATTATTATGATTATTATTGGCACTGTGACTCTGACAAGTTTGGATGGTACCGATTTGTAGGCAGTGGAGGCGTCAAAATGCCGGAATCCTGTGTTTCTGAATACTCGTGTGGCACATTGGCTCCAATGTGGCTCCAGGGATCACATCCCCTCATCTCAGATGGGATTGTAAATCGTACAGCCTGTGCTTCCTGGAGTGGATATTGCTGCTTGTGGTCAACAACAGTGCAGATTAAATCCTGTCCGGATAATTACTACGTGTACAAGTTAAGCGGAACACCCGCTTGCAGTTTAGCTTACTGTACAGGTGAGTTCTGCATCATATTAATGTGAGAAATGTCAAGCTATCGTTGTAGAACTGCACTCTTCTACTATGTAATGTAACATGTGATCTTCTTTTCAGATCCGTCCTCTGTCACTGATGTCTGTGCATGTGCAGAGACAGAACAATGCTCCTTGGTTGATGGGAAATATGGATGTTACTGCAAAGATGAATATAAAATTTCTGGTAAATACGAGTGTGCATTTTGTGAACCTTTGTATTATATATATATTTATCGTCATCGTTTGAGTTTGTGTGGATCCTTTGGGGTTGATTTACTAAAGGCAATTAGGCTGTTCACTTTGCAGGGGAATTTGTGCAATTAAATAAAAAAGAAAGTGTATTTGTGTAGTGAGTGCTGACTTCCATCTGCCCATCACTTTCAACAACTTCCTGGATTCCCAGAGTGGTTTGTGTCACGGTCTGCGACCGGGGCACACAAAATGACAAAAAGTAGCATGCAAAAAATGGTGTCTGGGGTGAAAACACAGGAAGTAGGTGTCTGTGCGTTAACAGGGACGCACTAGAGGCGCAGGTTCTAAGAAGGGCCAGGTGTTCGACAGAGCCTCTAATGGTGAGGATGATTGGCTGCTGGACACCTTCCAGGTTGCGGCCCCCTAGCATGCCCACACAGACATAAAGGTTAGTTGCAGCACCGAGGTGCTGGATGCATCAGCAGACAGGGTTGAAGCATATACACAGCCACACAAGTAGCTGAAGAAGCTGATGATCAATCCAATGCAGGACGTACAGGATCTCGCTGTGAGGAAGAGGGAATCCAGACTCACAGTAAACAAGGTAGGTGGTGGGCAACCGCAGGGATTACAGAGGCAAGAGATAAACAGGAAGTCCGACTGGGTGTAAAGACACGTTGCTCGAACTGCACGGAACAAGTGAGCTGGACTTTTAATGGAGAGGTTCAGAGTGGATTGGCAGGAAGCCACGCAGCTCAGGCAGGAGGTAAAACCCGGCGCCGGATCATCACACAGGGAAGTGTGACACTTTGCGTCTCTTAATGTAAGGCAATATTGATTGCTCAAGACTACATATGTCATTATGCATTGCTTCCAGCAAGCAACGATGATGTTACATTGTTCGGAGGTTGAGCCGTAGTTCGCAAGTCAGGCTCTGAGTGGTGACGCCAGTGCATATTTGGCGTGTAATTGTGGCAGTGGCAGCACATCCTATGGGCATCTTCAATAAACAAGTTTACAAACTTCTAGATGGATCCGGTTATTAGGAGTGGGATAGAATTTATAGAAATTCAATGTAGAAATACAGATTATTTTTTCGTTTTTGACCATGGGCACACTTTAAGTTAACGGACATTCAAAGTAAAGTATGTTAGGCAACAGCATAGTTTGTGAACAGATAGAGGTCAGGGCAGGCAGCGTCAGGCAGGAAGGCCAAGCAAGCAGGAGCAGTGGACAGGCCAGAGCTGCATTCATAGTATAAATGTAGATCATAATACAAGTACTAAAATAAACAAGGAAGAAAAGCAATGTCTGTCTGTGCTGCAGTATTTCATCTAGTATGCTAGACGCATTTTGTAAGATGACCCGCTCCTGGCAGTTTACATCCACTTTCTCTTATATCACTTGTGTGAAGCAGGAAATTTAGGTCTCTGCAAATATGGGAGATCGAGGACTTTCTGAATTCACTTTGTACAGAGGGACTTAAGCTTGCAAGTGGCACCCCATTCAAGAACACCTTGTCCCCGGGCTGATACACTTCCTTAAGTGCCCTTAAGTGCTTTTCAACAACTTTACTGAAGGTGGAGAAGAGAAGGTGGAACACCCAAAATGCTTTTCTAGGCTACTAAGATTTATCAGGACTGCCAGTGGCAGGGTGGGGTTCAACTCCAGGAGTACATAGCTACCTCAAAAGTCTCCTCAAAACGAGAGGTTCTTCTGTTGCTCCATTCGAGGTCTCTGGCTGATGCATCAGGACACTTTCAGGCACACAGCCTTCTTTTCTTGACACAGAGCCTCCAGGCACACAGCCTGCAACAGAACCAAACCCTCTATGCCCCTGGATCCACACACTACTTTGAAAAACAAAATGGCAGTGCAGGCTTCTTTACTGCAGAGAGGGCAGAGCTGTGGGATGAAGGAAAATACGGTACTAAAAGGCAATATATGGTGGTGTGTCTAGGAAGCGGTTGTAGGCACTAGAGTTGCCACCTTTTCTTCATGCAAAACCTGAACATTCTAGCAACGCACGGACATTTTTTTGGGTGAATGAGCTGTGGCTTATTCCTATGTAAATATCACAGTTGAGACTATTTTCAGTGGGAGGCCAATAGCTCCTATCTTAATTTTGGTTGCCCCTGTCTGCCTGACATCTTGTGTCCGGGTTTTTGCTGCCATGAAACCCGGACACATCATTCAAAACCCAGACTGTCCGGGTGAATCCTGGACAGGTGACAACCCTAGTAGGTACGAGTGTGTGTGATACAGCGTGGTCTGTGCTGCAGCCATCATGATCTTCTCCCTAACTACTGCTGGTGTTAGCCCTCTCTAACTGGACTGGCTGAGACGAAGGGCCGGGGTAGCAGTGGGTAGAGGTCTGTCTGCATGTGTGGCCGACTTTCCTCCTTTCCCCCAACAATTAGTTGAGCCCAGGGCTGTCGATGGAGCGGTGAGTGGGTGAGCTGCGGTCGATCGTCGGCAGGAGGAGGTTGTTTTGTCGGCTGACGAGGTGCAGGAGACCTGAGGAACGAGGTGTGTGCTCCCTCCAGTGGCTGAGACTGAGAGATGCAGTGTGCTGGCTTCTGGACAAGGGATTGTGGAAGGAGAGCTGGCTCCATCTAGAGGCTAAAAAGCAAAGTGCGGCTTGGCAGACTGTGGGGGTGAGCAATATTAAAGAATATGACTAGGACAAAAAAAGAGATTGTGCAAGAGGCAGGATGTAGTGTGGGTACTAAGCAATCACCCCGTATGTCTAAACAGACCAGTAAAGAGAAGCAGAAAGAAATAGCGTCACGTTTGGAAAAATTTGCTAGAGGAATTACAACAGGTATGGACGCCAATCAAACAAACAAAATGCGATTACATTTGGGGGACAAACCTATCTCCTTTGAATCCAGTCATCCCTGGGGACCCCACTCTTGAAGATGTGTTATTGGCAGTACAAGCTAGTCATGTGACTCTGACATCTATGGCGGAGCAAGTACAAGCTATGCAGATAGATATATCTTTTCTCAGACAAGACACGCAAAAGATTAGAGAGAGGCTGATGGAGGCAGAGGACGAATTAATAAGCTGGAGGATGTAAATATTTCTATGTGCCGATCTTAGAATGGCTCTGCAAAAAGCTAATGTTAATTCCCGTAAAATTGAAGAACTGGAAAACAGAGCAAGACGCAATAATATCAGAATGGTGGGAATACCTGAACAGACCGAGGGGTTAAATCCGGTGGTGTTTATGGAAAAAAATGGATACTAGAGCCAAAGGGGAAAGAATATCTATCCCCTACGTTTATGATTGAGGGAGTTTATAGAATACCTGCACACACATGTACATGGGAACTCACCAAGGACTATGCTGATTAGATTGGCTAATTATAGAGATAAGGAGACAATCCTCTGTAAGGCTCGTGAATTGGGAATTATATCTATCGCAGGTTCAAGAGTAATGCTATTTTCAGACTACTCACGGGACGTTCAAAAAAAAAAAGGGCCCAATTCCCGGAAGTGAAAAAAAAGAATGCGACAGCTGAAAATACAATATTCAATGTTATATCCGGCGAAAATGCGTATAACTACTAATGAAGGGACTCATCTCTTTGAATCTCCTTTAGCAGTCTCAGCTTGGCTGGACAAATATCCTGAGAGTAATATAAGAGGTCTGAAGATATGAGGAGCACTAGCGGTCTTGAGGATATTTTTTATTAAGTACTAAAAATACCACGCGGTGATCTGGATTGTAAGATGAATGTATGGATAATGTCTCTAATCCCCTATTTGGCTCCTGCGTGGAGTATATTTATGTCGGGAATTAGTGTAGTTGATTTGTGGGTTTTTTTGTTCTTGTTTTTTGTTTTCTTCCTTATGGTACCAATTATTTATTTACTCTACTTACTATATTGGAGGGGTATGCTGCCCAATGGTTGGAACAGAAGGAAACTGCATTGCATAGTAGTGTGTTTTGTATATAAAAACTAAATGTAAATGGATAAGCAAAACATATCAATAATATCTTGGAATGTTAGGGGTCTGGGGAATAAGACAAAGCGATGTGCGGTACTGTCCAGCATTATGTCTCATAAGCCGTCAATGATTTGCTTACGAGAAATGCATTTGATGGGAGATAATGTGGGATGGCTGGAGCGCAAGTTTATGCAATATGCAGCTCATGCATGTTGTTCAGCATACTCTAGAGGTGTATCAATACTAGTCTGTAAAGGTATGGCTTTCTGATGTATACACGCATTGTGTGATAAAGAGGGTAGATATGTGTTTCTGCATTGTAAAATCTATGACGTTGAATGCGTGCTGGTAAATATATATATTCCTCCTCCCTATTCCAATGAGGTCCTTTGGAAATTGGTATTATTTGTAAACACTTAGATCCCACTAAAAATACTTCTATTTATAATTTTTGTAAAGAAATTGTGTTAAGGGATGTGTGGCGGATGTTGCACCCGGAGGAACACCAATACACATGTTTTTCGAAGACACATTATCTAGGATAGATTTAATTTTATGTTCGGTTGATGTGATGCCACTAATTAAATCGGTTGAGATACAACCTAGATCACTTTCAGATCACTCACCAATAATCACTATTATTGAAACCGGGGGACGTTTTTTTAAGTTACCTTGGAAATTAAATCTGGGATGGTTAACTATATTGGCAACACAAGAAAAGTTGGAGAATGAGATATTAATGTTTTTAAACACAAATAATGGATCTGCGTCACATGGGATTGTATGGGATTCTTTAAAAGCATACATGAGGGGATATTTATGTCAGCAGATTAGTAGGAGAAGAAGGCAAGGGAATAGGGAGGAGGTAGAGGCACGTAATGAAGTAGCATGTCTAGAGACGCAATTTGTGTTAAATCCTAACGAAAAGGTTTGCAATGACTGGAATGCAGCACAAGAACAACTAAGGCATATTGAAAGTAAGAAAGCTAGGACTAAACAGTTTTTTAGCACTCAGAAGTACTGGGAAGAAGGAGAGAGTACTGGAAGACTGTTGGCACAGTTGGTGAGGGCGCAGGAACAAGTTCCATTTGTAAATGCATTGAAGGATATGGATGACCAACTGTGCGGTGAGTCTGATAAAATTCACTCGGTCTTTAAACAATACTATGAAAGGGTCTATACTACTAGAGTAACTTATAGTAGTGAAGATCTAGAGACATTTATAGATAGTATTCCGTTTATTATGCTATCTCAGGCTGATAAAGATAGTTTGGAGACTCCTTTTACTATCCAAGAGTTAGAAGCAGCGGTGGTTAGTTTTCCAAATGGGAAAGCCCCAGGATTAGATGGTCTACCAATAGAGATATATAATAAATATGCCTCCATCTTGATTCCTGCATTATTGCAAACTTACACAGAACATATTGGACCCCTGAATTCCTATATAAGATAGGACTCAGGGAAAACTCTAAGGGGTCTATTCACAAAGCTGCCGAGGGCAGCCGAGTGAATGACCGATCAGAAGTGAAGTGAGCCGAACACTGTTCGGCTATTCACTTCAGGCTGGTACGGCTGAAATCAGCCGTACATCGGCTTGCTTCGTGTGGCTTCGAAACAGCCGAACATGCTCATGCTCTAGTTGCGCCCCTGCTAATACCAATAACAGTATCGGTTCATCCCTAGTTCTTCCATAGTTCTAAGGGTGCCTGTTCATCTGGGCTTGGTACAGACAATATATAAAGACCATGTTACTGGTTACTATATATTGGCAAAATACTCTAATACTGAAGATAAATGACAAATGGGGAGGGGGGGGGTCTGCTTTAATTAATTTTAATGAAAAAACTGTTTTGACAGTAACTGAGATGCAAAAGAATGCGACATTCCTCTGTGGCTCTCCTCCTGCACATTCGTCATGAAGGAAGCCACCTGGATTTAAGTCAGCATCCACTGTGTGGTAAGCAAGGTGCATCTCAATCTGTCCATGCTCACCTACCAAACATTAAATTTACCATTTACATACATAAGGGTCAATTTCAAATCTTTTGCCCAGCCATAAGCTGGGCGTTTGCCATTCACACGGCATTCCCACAACTAGATGGAGCCAAGAAACATAGAATTTCCTATGCTCCTCAGCTCCGCCTAGTGTCCTTTCTATAGGTGAATGCACTTCACTATCTATTACACTATAATGGAAATAAAAGCAAAGTTCATGTTTCAAATAAAATATGTTCTGACTCACCATTATACCAAATATTATATATGTATATGAATGTATCAGCATTTCAAAAAAAAAATTCTATCTTATTAATGATTTGAGGATCCAAATAAGCTTTTTTCCGTTTTAAGATATTTCAGAAATACGCCCGATAATTACCTGCGGAGCACATGACATGAAGGTCTCGTTCCTAAAATGTCAGCTAAAAAGTCAAGATATTGATGTCAATAAGCTAACCATTGCAAACATCGGCTGTTATACTCTTCAAGATGACATTGTCAATGGAACGTACTCAGTAACAGTGCCTCTTAGAGATGGGGAATGTGGAGTTCAGCTAATAGTATGTATTTATATGTATCCTATCTATCGATCTATCTATCTATCTATCGATCTATCTATATATCTATCTATCTATCTATCTATCTATCATTACTTCATGTTCACTATGCACTGATCACTGGCTCTAAGTTCCCCCTTCCTCTGATAAAGACACCAATTATGTTGGAATGTGTTGGGAATGGGTTGTTTTATTTGATTTATTATATGAGGTGCAAGCCGGGATCTCTGAAAGAAAGGTAGAGAGAAATCTAGTTCAGATAAACACTGTATAGGGGTGAAGGAAATTACTTGATAGAAAGAGAAAGCCTGCAAGATGAAGAGAGTTAAAAGGAGAACTATGAGGTGAGTGAAAATCACTCATCCTCATAGTTTGAGCCGACGTGTGACAATGAGACTGTCACAGGTCGGCTCAATAGATCGGGAAGTGAGAGAACACATACCGTCGCTCACTCACTTCTCGATCATTTCCCTGCAGAGAGTGGTGACTGTCAGCCACGGCTCCCTGCAGGGATCCCCCCTCCCCTCTCCGATCCTCAAGCGCTGACTAGAGGAAGAGATGGGGTGGGGGCGGGCACAGCTGGCTCTGCCTCTAGATAGGCAGAGCCAGCTGTCATTCACACAGCTGGGTGGATCTTAAAAGCATTATCGGGATCCGTCCCGGCTGCGGCGGTCTCAGTATACCGCAAGCTATATACTGAGCTTTGGGTGACAGGAGGACGCTAGTTTATGTCCTCCCATGACCCTTAATTGAACTATGGGGAAAAACACTTACCCCATAGTTCTCTTTTTAATTTTAGGTGTTTTAGAAATTTGTTATTTCTTTCCTCCAGAATTCCAGCACCATGGAAATTAAGATCTTACGGTCCTTTGATGTGAAATAAGTGGTACAGGAGGCTGTACAAACACTTAATGGTTTCAGGCAGTCACATCCGATTCTTCTCAGTGTGGCTGCCCCCAAACAGTTGCCCATTTGTACAGATTTTTGTTACAAATAACATTTAATACATAACAAAACATTCTAAATTATATTCTATGGACTAGCAGATGCTGCTGACACAGTTTGTCTGATTGAGACTTGGGACTAATCTAACAAGGGATAGGTCACTGCAATGCATCAGCCACTTGTGTTTTGTAAATTTCATGAACATTTTCAGCATGAGGTATTTAGCTTCATATTGAGCAATTGTATAATGCTATATATATATAGATATAGATAGTGATATAATAATATTATACCTTCATGTGGGAACATGTGCAATTCTAATTTTACATTTCTGGGTTTTAAGACCAAAATAAAATGGGACTTTCATTCCTGTCTTGAAAAACACAGATTAATAGAGGATTATGGGTTCTCTAAAATGTCAACGGCAGAAGCTTTGGAGTTCTCTTTCCCGTATTGGAGTTGGAGTTAAAAATAAGCAAATGGACTATACACTTATGGGTGTGCCACTAGGGAAGTCGGAAACAAGGTTGTTAAAATTAAATATGTTCTCGTTGGAGGTTAGGAGATTAAGGGGGGACATGATTTTCATGTATAAACTATTCAAGGGCGACAGCAACATTATTAACAAACTGTTTACGGTTAGCTCCGTAACAAAGACCAGAGGGCACAACCAAAAATTGGTGGAAAAAAAATTTCAACACACAGGGCGCGAGGGGTTCTTCACAGTCAGAGCGGTTAAGGTCTGGAACTCGCTGCCGCAGGAAGTGATCTCGGCTAAGAGTGTGGAATCATTCAAGAGACTCCTGGACGAGTTCCTCGGAGACCATAATATAGGGGTACAGGTACGCCTAAGGGCAAAATCACACATGGACTAATACACATGCACACACCTGCTCAAACATAAATGCACACATGCAATAGGTTGGACTTATGTCTTTATTTAACCTCAAATACTATGTAACTATGTATTTTGCAGTCTAAATAACTTGTACAGGAAATATTTCCATATTTTATTTCTTTTTCTTCACAGAAATCTACATATTATGCTACTTTTCTCAACACAATAGACATTACATTAGGGTCCAGTGATGATTCGTCTATACCACAGGAATTGGCTGTTCAAATGAAATGTTCTTATCCTCTTGACCTACAACTTAGCCTTAACACTGCAATTAATCCCATGGTTAGGTAAGTTATGTTGTAGGTATGTTTATTCACTTTTATTTATAGAATTGTAAAACACTTCTGGATGTTGGCAATACAACATCATATATTATGTCTTTTGATCTGTAGGTGGCGCTGTAGTGCAATGCTAGTCTGTGTTTTCATGCTGATCTATGATATATACAGGAAGTTCTATCTGTATGCTGTATTCACATATAATGTTCTTTTACGCAAGTCAAAGTTAATTCAGCATTCCTTAAAACCTCAGTGCTTCATCTAAACACATAACCAACACTGGAGAGGTTTAGGTCCCATTCACACTGTGCTTTGAGGTGTCACTCATTGTGAATTGCACCCAAGATACTGTACAGTAGATGCCAATGCACATGCATTTCAGGGTACTACAATACACACAGTGTGCATTGTGGTGTGCTGTGTATTTTTTTTTAAAAAGGGTAATTTTTGGCTTTTCAACTTTCAAAGTGTTTTATTAGTTTAAAGAGTAAGGGTACATTACAACAAAACAAGATATCAAGAAAACAAAGGTCTGGAAACCCGCCCATACCAATACAGTAATAGGAAATCACAAAGAACGGAGGCAAACACAGCAATTCAGATCTCCCAGCATATCAAGTTTGCAATCGCACAAAGTGGGATAAAAAGTAACAAAACCATAACAAAGCTTTTTCACTATTAAAAATAAAGTGAATTAGGCAAAGAGACACATAACCAATATTCTCAAAATGAGTGCCTCCAACCTCCTAGGGTACCGGAGGATAACCAGCTACTAGTCAAGTACATGAGGGGGTCAGAAAAAAACAAGATTCAAGGAAAGATTGAAAGAACAAGTAAAGAGAGAAGAGAGGAAGGAAAGAAATGGTGCTCCAGCCAGAGGAGGTAACCCACCACCACTCCATCTAAATAAAAAATATTGTTACTAGGCATCAGTCACTCCAGTATAAGTCAGCCAAGGAGTCCATACTTTTCCAAACTTCCTCTTGAAGAATACTATGTAACTTTTCATGAATCATAATCCTCGACAGTTTGAGTTTGACACATTGGAATGAAACCTTTGGTGTCCTTCAAGCCCAGCCACTGGACAGGGTACATCGTGCCAGGTTGAGCACAACCACGAAAACACTTAGGGGAAACATCCGGATATATCTTTGCATGCCTGGAGGGAACCAAATACCAATGAGACATAACCTTATAGTTAGCTTCTATCAGAGAGATAGGTAGTAAAACACAAGATATGCGAGAACAGCATTGTTGCCAGACATCTAACGGAATTTTAGTGCCAATATCTCACTCCCACACTAGCATATAAGGTAACTTAAAATTAGACTCTACAAGAAGAGAATAAATGTGTGAGATGCCGCCTCTTTGACCTCCGTCTTGAAGCCACCATCTTTCATAAAGGGTCTTAAAAGGGAGAAGCAGGCGTTTGCAAAGAACACAAAAAGTGACGCAATTGTCTAAAGTGAAATAGTTCGGAAGTTGGCATATGTAAAGTAAGTCAATGATCAGGGCTTACGATCCCTAAAATAGAACCCTATATGCTATAAACCTTTATCCATCCACCTGCTCACCCAGAGGAAAAACAAGATTACAAAAGATGGGTGCAAGAGAAGTGTAAGACGACAGCAACCCACTGTCTCTACGAATAAGACTAAAGAGTGAGATAATGTCAGAGCTACAAATTACCAGTCTCTGCTTCAGAGTCAACCATTTCAGTAAATCGACAGAGAGGCCCGAAGCAAAGAAAGATTCTATGGAGATCCAATCAGGAATGCTCCCCTGGCAATAAATTGAGGAAAGCTGTGCTAACGGAGCTACCCCGTAGTATTGAATAATATGAGGTACCATGAGCCCACCTGATTTCCTTGATTTAAATAGACCCTTTTTGGGGAGCCTAGGGTGTTGATCCTTCCAGATAAATTTGAGAATAGAAGATTGAAATTTCAAAAGGTCCTCCCTACATGCAGCCATAGGTGAAGCACGAAAGTAATATAACATTTTTGGAAGTACGGTCATTTTTATTGCATTGATACGACCCAACCACGACAAAGTACAAGAAGCCCATCTAGTCATGTCCTCTTGAAGCTGTTGAAATAATGGAGGGTAATTATTTTTGTATAGCTGGGAAAAGGAGGGCGTACGTTTAATTCCCAAATACTGTAAGGAGTCAGTGGACCATGTGAACCCAAAGTGTTTAGTCAAGCTGGACCATATTTCTGGAGAGAGATTGAAAATCACTCATCCTCATAGTTCTAGCCGACGTGTGACAATGAAACTGTCACAGGTCGGCTCAATAGATCGGGAAGTGAGGGAACACATGCCGTCGCTCGCTCACCTCTCGATCATCTCCCTGCAGAGAACGGTGACTGTCACTCACGGCTCCCTGCAGGGATTCCCCCCCTCCGATCCTCCAGTGCTGACTGGGGGAACGGAATGGGGAGGGGGCGGGTACAGCTGGCTCTACCTCTAGATAGGCAGAGCCAGCTGTGACTCACGCATCATTGTGGAACTCAACAGTAATGTCAGGATCCGTCCCGGCTGTGGCGGTCTTGACGAGCTGCACTCAGGAGAAGCCTTCTCCTCCCCGTGCGGCCCTGAAGCAGTCTCTGCTCCTCCTCGGCCCCCTGAAAGACCACTGGCGACTGTCACACAGCGGAGAGGAGGGGGAACCACGGTGGCGCATTGAGGCCAATGAGAGGGCGGCAGGGAGAGGTGATGTGAGAGGTCCAGCCAAAGAGTGGGCAGTTCTCTCATGCAGCGCAGGATTGAGCGGGGCCCAACGGAAGGTTGTAGTATAGAATCACTGAGTGAGGTCAGCGGTAGAGTAATCCACAGTGAGCACTGAGCATGAGGCGAAGGTGCATTTTTCCACCCTCTCACCCGGCACCCTCAGACGGCTGCTGATGCCGCCTTACACTAGCACCGGCCCCGCCTGTCAGCAATGTTCTTCTAGTTGTACACTGAGCAACGCATGCACAGCTGAATGTACAATATCGGCATGCCATGGGTGCCGGGACTCCTGTCCACATGTGGCATATGATTCCAGACCCAGAAGAACAGAAGAAGACTAGGTTAAGATTTTAGCACCAGCGATGGAATGGTGAAGGAAAACACTTAAGTTACATCATGGCAAGGCGTCCCTTGGGAGGTAATTGTACTATAATGTGCAAATATGGCAGATAGGGTTCTGGGGGAGGGGGGGGGGGGGTTAGCAGATTGTATTCCTCTTGTACAGCCATCCAAATCACTTCTAAGACAGAACCGACAATGGGCTTGCGTGGGCTAACGCAGTCCCAGTTGCAGTGTGTTTAGGAGCCCGTCTTGCTGGCATACGAATGCCATATGTTGGCAGCAGAGGAAGGGTCAAACTTTTTTTCTCTAATTGCTTAAAAGTTGTCATTTGGAGTTTGCCTTTAACTTGTTTGTCTTTTACTTAAAGTCCATTAAAACCTACAGGTCTGTTACCTTGCCCACAGGGTGACAACACTGCCGTGAGCAGAACAAACAGCATTGTCACCAAATTACAGGAAGTGGAAGAACAACAGGTCTTCTGACAGGCAATAAAACTGTGTCAAAGGGAGGACTGGGAAAACAAAAGCTGCTGTGTTAATGCGAATGACAGACTGCATCATACTGTATACAGGTGAAACTCGAATAATTAGAATATCGTGCAAAAGTTCATTTATTTCACTAATGCAACTTAAAAGGTGAAACTAATATATGAGATAGATTCATTACATGCAAAGCAAGATAGTTCAAGCCGTGATTTGTCATAATTGTGATGATTATGGCTTACAGCTCATGAAAACCCCAAATCCACAATCTCAGAAAGGTAGAATATTACATGCAATCAATAAAACAAGGATTGTACATGGAACAATATCGGACCTGGTGTTATGGAAGACCCCGATGCTTCAATAGCGGCCTTCAGCTCTTCTACATTGTTCGGTCTCATGTCTCTCATCTTTCTTTTGACAATGCCCCATTGATTCTCTATGGGGTTCAGGCCAGGGGAGTTTGCGGATATTCATGTGGATATTCTAATTATTCGAGTTTCACCTGTATATGTAATTTTTTTAATTTTGCCCAGAATTTCACTTTCTGTAACAGTGATAATTGTGCAGAAATAACGTCTCTATATTAATTTTTTTTGCAGTGTAATAAACATTGTCACAGAAGGTACCGGGCAGTTTAAAATCTCCATGGCACTTTTCCAAGATGCCTACTACACTCTTCCCTATACAGCACCTGTAGTTGAGATGCCAAGCAAATCTTTACTGTATGTTGGTGTCTATCTCGATGGGCCCGGAAATTCCCCATACATTGTACTGATGAAAAACTGTTTTGGGACCCCGACAAACAACATAAATGACACCATAAAATACTCTATCATCAAAGACAGGTTTGTTACAGCAAAATGTTAAAAGAATATTATAAAACAGATTCTGTTATTGATGTCACTGATAGAAGGTGTGTGTATGTTCTGTGTACAATCTGTGATGTGTTTCAAAGGAGGAAGATAGGAAACAGGCAACAAAATACCATTAAAGTCTTCCTCTGATTGATGACCCTATATAAACTGGCCTGTTCCATTGGTCAGTGCTGAATGCTCTTTCAGTTTATGTTCCTGTGTTTCTGCTAAGCTTGATCACCTGTTGCCTTGACCTCTGCTCAGTGGCATCCCGAGGCCGGGTGTCACCCAGAGATGAGACCGGGTGACACGCCGGCGTGACGTCATTGCACATGCGTGTAACGTCACCATGCGCGATGACGTAATCGCACATGCACGGTCATCTAATTGACGCCTGCCGGCGGCCATCTTGGTGATGGACGCCGGCAGAGAGAGGAGGGCATGTTTACCCGGTGGGATGAGGTATGATGCCGGGTCCCCTCCTCTCTCCTGACACTGTCCATGACTGAGTGCCCGACTTTTTAAAGGGGGTGACACCAAAATGATTGTCAATCATTTTGTGTCACCCCTCCAATGGTGTCACCCGGGTGTGGGCCGCACCTCCCTTGTGACGCCAATGACTCTGCTTGCTCCTGGATTCTGCCTCTGCCTGCTCCCTTGGTACCATGCTGACCATCTGGCTTTGACCCCTGGCTTGCTTGACTTCTCTCCAGTCCTGCTCCTGACCATGCTGATCCCTCAGCTGGCTTCCAGTCCTGCCAACCTTCGCAGGGAATCTGTTGCTGGACTTTTGCCAGGCACTGGGCCTGAATATCTCAGCACCCGTGCTACTCTCTCTCTGCTCGCTCCCTGTCCCCACTTCCAGGGGTGTGAGACAAGAACCACAAGGGAGGCCTCCTCAACCAAGCCAGTCCTCTACCAGGTACGTGATACTGGTTCCCTGAGGTCCAATGGGAAACCAACACTTCCAGAAATATGGATCTCCATGGACCCCACCTAGTTCCTCCCTCTGACCTCATGTCATTGTAGGACACTGAAGTGACTTTGGGGATCATTTCTCTACAATATAGTAGCATTGAGCAGAAGGAGCGATACGTATCCAACCTCTTCTCTACAAGAATGTGCTTTCCTAAAAGTGTTTTATTAAACGTCAAGGTCTCTTTCAATGCCAAAATATTATAGTTATATATTGTAATCATAATACCTCCAACTATGTGTTGTAATTGTATCAAAGCATTATAATGGATTTTCTACCTTTTTGTTTAACAGCTGTCCTAACAAGCAAGTCTCAACAGTCAGTGTTCCCGCCAATGGTGTTTCCAATGAAGGTCGCTTTTCCTTGCAGCTATTTAAGTTTATCACCGGTTACAGCCAAATCTATCTACACTGTGAGATAAATCTGTGTGATCCCACGACAAACATCTGCACTCCAGTGAGTACAAAAAAATACCAGTGGAAAATGGATACAAATAATTCTTCCAGGGACCTTAGAGAAAAGGTGCATCCACCAACCGTAAAGCTCAATTAAACCATAGAATAAAACTCTTCCAATAGGTTCCTCATACAGTATATCAGTAGGTGAGTAGAGCCTAACTGTTCATATAGCTGGTACAGCATTCCATATCCATAGAAAAAATCTGTTCTCCATTGCCATGCAGCAGAGACGTACTAATGCACTCAGCATCCCTCTCTGCTATGGTATGACGTGACCCCTAGGAACTAGGTCCTCCTCTCAGCAGAGAGCATGAGCTTTGAGTGGAGAGCTCAAGCTCTGATTTACAGGGGTCATGTTGGACCTCAGCAAAGGGGCTGCTGCTTATGCATAGATCACAATGGTTCAGCTCTGGTGAATGATGGCAGGCTACAGATTTTTACTACGGATGTGGGCAGCTGTACCAGATACAAGGGGCGTAACTAGAAATCACAGGGCCCCATAGCAAAATTTTGTATGGGGCCCCGTGATTGCTAGTTATGCCACTTGCAGAGCCGACCATAGACTCTCTATGGTGGGCTCTGCAAGGTCTCAGTTGAGCTGCACGCCTCTTACCTGTCAGCGTTGTAGACCTCCGTGGTCGCCGTCGCCGGGCCCCTCCTCCTCTTCCCTCCCCGGGATCCGCCTCCTTGTATCGACGGGCCCCGCTTCCTCTTACATCACTGGCCCCACCTGCTCTTAGATCCAGTGATGTGAGAGGAGGCGGGGTTGCTGTTAGGCGGGCCCTGCCTCCTTCTTTAGCTGCAAATGCCGGTGTAACCGGCCTATTCTGCTGCATCTTCTGGCTGTCACTGACACAGCTCCGCAGCGGCTGTGAGGGGGAACGTTCTCCTTCACAGCTGCTGCTGCTGAGCTATGTCAGTGACAGCCAGCACCTGAGATACCGTAGCGACCCAGGCGGCCCACACGGCATCAGAGGGATGCCTGGCCGGGCCCCCTTCCCCCCGTGCACGGGCCCCATAGCGGCCGCCTGTGTCGCTATGGCGATTTTTACGCCACTGCCAGATACTGTATATGAATGGTAAGACTCTGCTCACTTATCCTTATACTGTTATAGAGTTTATTTCTTGGATTCAGTTAGGCTATAACATAACTATATAGATGATGACTGTACTTACAATGAAACAAGGCAATAATTCCATCTCGGGTAAGGTGTTGTCTCCAGTCTGTGCAATTGCCATATGTTGTATATGCAAGGCTGCACTTCATCTACACCTGATTGTCTTCTGAACATGTTTAAATTGTGTACATCACATGGTGGTTGGATAATCAAAACAAACGAAGGACATGCTCACTGATAAGGGCAGTTGGCGCTATGCTGTTCCTTGAAATGTCCAATAAGCAACAGAGTGCGCTATAGAACATCAACCTACCGAACTGATAAAGAAAAGTGATTGCACTTACAGAACGAAAACTTCATCTCCAAATCTTCTACATTGCTGGAGGTTGGAAGAGTCGATGCCAATGGAAATTGCCACCACCAGTGAAAAGGGACATTGATAGAACACAACTTGCACCGAGATAGAAGACTTCCCAAGAGGGATAGGCAGCACGGTGCCTCCATTTACGCATTTTGCTACTGGAGTGGGCATCAGTTTGTGGGCACTAGAAGAAGGGCCGTTAGTGCTATTGGGTGGGCAGCTGAAGAACATACCCTAGGCACAGTGGCGCAACAACCGGGGGGGTGTTTTTTTTTGCATACAGCGTGTGCTGGTTACTACTTAAACCGACGCGCGTAGTGTGCAGCTTCTGAGAATATACGCTATTAGCGTAGCGGGAGTGATGCAAAATGCGCAGCCGCCTTCCCCGCTATGCTGTATGCAGCTTCTAACAGCGTTGGAGACGGGAGGCCGCGCTTGTTGGTGGATACAGGAATCAGGTGAGTATTAGAAAAAAAAAATATTTATTTTATGTTCTATTCTTAGTTCTATAATGGCATTGTAGTACTTTCAGGTGGAATACAGCTTCATAAGATATCAGCTAGGGAACTACAAGTCCCAGCATGCACTCATTGCCCCTGTACAACAACCAGATATTGCCGTTCCCTGGGTGATATGTGTGTGTGGAGGGGGGTGTACAGGGACAATGATGGCATGCTTGGACTTGTAGTTCCTTAGCTGATATATATGTGTGGGGGTGGGGGGTACAGTTCCAGTGGATGTTTATATAATATGGGGGGGGCGAAAAAAAATGTTCTGCCCCGGGCGCCAATAACTCTGGTTACGCCACTGCCTAGGCAGACTAGAGATGAACCGGGCATTCAGCGGCTCCTTCGTGGGTGAGCGCTACATGTCCATCAACTGACACCGTGAAGCACATGTTGATCTGTTCGTTATCTGACTAATATGTATTATGTGAATGGTAATTCTCATTTGCTGTAAATCTCTTGTGTGTTACAGTCATGTTCTGATGCTAGAAGTGCCGGTGTAAAATCTGCCGGTCAGGACTACAGCATAAGTGTGGGACCAGTTAGAGTTGTGTCTGAGATATCAGGTAAAATACAATAAAGATGAAACATTAAATACATTGATTTTCTAGATTTACATATACCGAAAGTGCATGTAAAGGCAATTTTTTTTTTTTAAGCTTTGGAAAAAGTAAGGAAGGGTCAGATGTAAAATTTTTCTTGCTGTGCTGTTGACCTTTGTCACTAAGACAGAAAGTGATGGGAAATCAACCGAGTTGTCACCAGAGCAAGTGGCGAAGGAAGAATCTTCAATGGTGACACCTGCTCATGGGGCTACTCTAAAGAATTTGTTCACTTTGTGAAGATTTCCTCTCACTTCCTGCTGTGACAATGTCTCTTCACCAACTAGCAACAAGTTTTAAGCAGGAGTTGTTTTCAATATCTATTGAGAAAATATCAGCTTTTATCAGCTTGGAGTAGTAAGTTTAATAAACATGATCTACAATGCACGTTGCACAGTTAACAGGGCAATATTTATATGTCTCTGTACTCATCATCCATCTACCTGGCAACTGACTGATGGAAAGTAACATGTGGCAACCTCATCTGACAGTAAAGAAAGTGAGGGGTTTTTTTCTAGTTTTGGATGGAGAGGGAAAACATAAGACCTGCTGTCTGTTTTTTTTTTTTGTTGCTAAGGTGTTTTGGCATGGACAGGGGGGTGTAAAAAAAATAAAAAGTGGATCATGCTTGGTAGTGCAAGGACCTTAATTAAAGGTAATTAAAGGATTTTTAAAATAGACGGAATTGTCTGATTATTAATACACTGATATATTTATTTCATTGTACATATATTTATTGTGTTATAATAAAGTGATTCTTTGGCCTATATGTAAACTGATTTGAGCTTTTTAACAGTTTATTTCTAATGATACCCAATGAGTAAACACTCTAACTGAATTTTTTTTATTCTTTACAGCTTCATCCTCTGGCACTGCTGGTAAAAAAAAAAAAAATTACTACTGCATTTTCTGCAATTTGTAGCATATTAAGAATGCATATAGATAAATACTCTTCACCTTATGTCTAGTCCTCTGGGTCAAATCCTCTCAGTTTCAGTCCGGTTAAAGCTGACCATAGGTGGTTAGTGCAGCTCATATCTCCCGAATGTTCATATTTGAGCACATAGTAGGGACTGTCCAGACACCTGAGGCATTGGCTTTACCTTAGGGAAAAAATGCAATGAGCTGAGGAAATCCTACCCAGCTGATCCAATATTTAGGATTTTCCAAAAGGTGCCCACATAGGGCAGTGGTCAGAAACAGGTCAATCACAATCTCGCAATCTATCATGACCATGAGATGGGTAGATTGCGTCCCCGCTGTGCTGACCCTTCATCAGAAGTGCTCCCCCCCAATATGCAGAGTGGTGCAGGGAAGCTGCACTGAGGCATAGCTACCTGTTGTGTCATGCTGGTCTCTGCAATCATCCTTTTGTCCACCCCAAGCGCATGCGCCTGGGGTGGATTTAGAGGCAGAATGGTGGGAACCAAAGCACCACGGCTATGTACTGCCACTGCTTTCCTGTGCCCTTCTGCATAAAGGGGGGACGGAGAGTGAAAGTACTTCTGATGGGGGACATTATGGTGGTATAACCCTGTCTATAGGGCCAGACAGGCCTGGACACGCACCCCAATATGTCATCAGCAGCAACGTTATCTACAGGAGCCCTTCCTGACTTTCCTATTTGTGGACATGACCTATTTGTAATTAGAATGCATGCTTAGGCACCCCTTTACTGTCTCAACCATCACTTTCCCCACACAAATGTAACACTTGTAGAAGTATTACTTAAAGGGCTGCTGCACCACATATTATGGGAACTAGCTTCAAATGGTAGGAGCTTTATGGACACATCCACTCGCAACTTTTTAAGGCTTTTCATGCACATTTTTATTAAAATACAGTTCGGGCCACACAAAAGGTTACCCTTGCAGGGGTTGTTCAGCATCTTTCTGCCACAAAGCAAAATTATTTTTCAGCCTCCTGGCTTTCACATACAACTTTGCTGCTATGGGCTCACACTTCAGGCCATTGCCCGTCTCTCCTCTAGACAGTACTCTGTGCTAAACACAACTCAGTGCACACATGCGCCATCTATGGCTGCTCTCAGCTGCAATGGCTTTCATCCTAACTCATAAAAGGACCCTTCCCGACCCCTTGGGTTGAGACTCTGTCTCCCAGTTAGATCCTTAAACACTAGCCAGCACCCATACCATAAGAGCTGTGCACAGCTGCACAATCAATGGGTGTTGGTCAATACCAAACGGGGACACAGGGTTGGAGGCTTCATCCCACCCAAGTCTCCACAAAGCCTCCGGGTTCCAGGACCCTGACCAGGGTTTACCAATCCTGGAAAAAAATGCTAACCCAGCTTTTTTAATAGGAAACATTCACAGTGAAGCCCCTCAACCTGTATGGGTGGGAACCCTGAGTAACCACGAAACCTGATCACATCGTGGCATGGCACAGCACTGTTGCAATAGATACTCATTCATTTATAGGGATTGAGCTCTGGTTAGAACAGCTCTACACTATATTTTGTTTGGCTAGGTGGTCAGCATGGAATTATCATGAGAGCTGTACACACACTACAGACAGAAATAGAGGATAAGTACAAGTTGTATCACCAGAAAGTTGTACTGTGTGAGCCATCAGCAAACTCAATAGACTGACCATAAAAATCCTTAAAACTGGTTCGGTTTCCTTGCCAGGTAGAGTGATCGGTATTAGTCCTGATTAGGAAACAATTACATTATAATAGTTTCCAGTCTACAGAGTTTGCAAATAAATGCAATTCATTTATAAAAATATTTATATTATTGTCCTAACACTGACTTATATTTTTTCATTCTGTTTTAGGGGCACCTTGCACTGTTCTTCTATTACCAACCATTTTCATGTTGGGAAGGTTCCTCATGGCATACATATAAATATAAAGTTGTCATGCACTGATTTCATGGCTTACACAGATTAGCATGTTGGACGATGAAGCTGTTGGTCTATGTTGCGGTCACAGATCACCGATAAACAACAGTCAGAGTTGCACTAATGCATCATTGAATTGTATTCACTACAAGCTTTGGCTTCATGAAATCTTTTTCAAACAATTATGATAATTTTGAATGACTCATGGCATACATATAAATATAAAGTTGTCATGCACTGATTTCATGGCTTACACAGATTAGCATGTTGGACGATGAAGCTGTTGGTCTATGTTGCGGTCACAGATCAGCGATAAACAACAGTCGGAGTTGCACTGATGCATCATTGAATTGTATTCACTACAAGCTTTGGCTTCATGAAATCTTTTTCAAACAATTATGATAATTTTGAATGATTTTTCCTCACATTACATTATATCCTCTAATATCAAATCAAATCAATAAATCTGCAATCTTTTCAGCAATGTACCCGAATCTGACTTTTTGTTTTTGGATCTGAAGGTTGATTTACTAAAGGCAGATAGGCTGTGTAAGAAATTGTGCCCCTTAAGTTGTTGAATGAGGTGAAGTCCTGTTGACTTCCATTACCCAACCATTGCTTTGCTCTGGACTACAGATCCCAAAGATCAGCCCCTAACATGTAAAGCTTGGCGACAACTTTATTTCTATTTGTTTTCTAGTTCTGCAGTAAAGCTCCAAGAAACTGACCCCGGTAGCATTTAAAGTACTTTACTAGGCAAAAATGCTGTGTGCACAAACTTAGTTACTGGAAAAGCAAAATAAAACATACATACACCTGCACACACTACACTATCCTTTCTAGTACATGTAATACTTTGCTTCCAGCAGCAGATTTCTTAAATTCCATAAAGAACAGGACTTCTTGGCAATTAAGCGTTCGCAGGAAAATGGCTTCTGGTTGCAGTTTCTGGTGTCCAAGTCTTTTGTTTCAGAGTTCTATGGAGAGTCCTCTCTTGGTCAGAGTAATTATTGTCCTCTCTTGCTCAAAAGTTCCATTCTCAAGTCCCCTGTTGAAGTCCTCCTCTGTTGAAGTCCCAAATTCACCTTTAGGCTGCTGGATTTTTATTTAAGATAAATTGGCAGCCCACCTGCCCATCAAGACTTTTATGAGAGTGAAATATGATGTATTTCACTTCCCCGTCTCTAGGTGGCAGCAGACCATCAAGAATTGCCATCAGTAATAATATGCCTTGACCATCATAGGCGTGCTTGTTTATGTAAAATGTCTGTGAAGGTTCTCATTCATTCAGGTCATGGTATATCTGTAAAAAATAAGTCAAGGCAACTGGACTTGCTGTATCTTTCTTGGACGTTTTCACTGGTCATCCAACCAGCTTCCTCAATTCAGAATGACTTGTACAAAAAATGATCTGGGAATAAATATGGTGAATGTCGCTCCAATCCACATAATATGTTAGTCACAACCAGGTGTTGGTGGCATTTGCATAATTGGAGTCTAGGAGGTGTTATTAACCTGAGAGAGGTGTTAAAACAGCATTGTATGTGGCAGACAATAGAGGTCTCCCCACCTCTTCCCCATTTTTACATAAATGGCCTTTATGGAGGAGGACTGGTTTAAAAGAGGTGTGAAAGAGACCATTTATGTAAAAATGGAGAAGCCAAGCTTGAATAATCTATATTTCATAATAATAATTTATATATATATTTAATCTCTTGTAATAAAAAGGGAATGTACTGTAGAGACAAAGCGATAATTTTGTTACTTTACAAATGACTGGATCGGCCACATCTGGAGTATGCTGTTCAATTTTGCCCACCAATCCACAGAAAGGATGTCCTGGAGCTGGAGAGAGTCCAGAGAAGGGCAACAAAATGAATTAAGGGGCTGGAGGATCAAAGCTATGAGACAAGGTTACTAAAGTCTTTAATTTGTTTTGCTGGAAGTGAGGAGATTAAGAGGAGACATGATTTTGATTTACAAAACATTTGGCAACTTCAGCAATTACGTTTTTACTGTAAACTCCATAACGAAGACTAGAGGCCACTGCCTAAAATTGGTGGAGAAAAGATTTAACCACAAGGGGCGTTGGGGCTTCTTTTCAGTCAGAGTGGTTACATTTTATAACACTCTGCCTCAAGCAGTGGTATCAGCTGGGAAATCAAAAATCAATTAGATACAGGTACTCATAACAACTAAGACCACAAAGGGACTCATATATATACACACACAAAGGTTGAACTTGATGGATCTGTTTCTTTATTCAACTTCAAATATTATGTAACTATTTATGTAACTATGTAGGCTGAGCAGAGGTGGCCCTTCCTTGGGAATTTTTATAAAAGGTGGTGTTTCCTTGTTCTCTATGGTGTCCTGTGGCACAGTAATCAGCTGTAAGGGTTCTTCTTAACTTAAATTGCATGTATTCACAGTGCCTATATTCTTGAAGCATTTGTGAACTGCAATCAATTTACGCCAGCTGCTATAGGAACAGAAAACTGAAGAAAGCTTTAACTAAAAATCAATGTGCCTAGAAACGAAGACCTGGAATGCCTTTATGTGATATAACCTGTCTGACTGTAAGAAAGAAGAGAGAAAACCAAGGGAGGGTCCTCATAAGATCATACAATTCATGAATCAGGATTGCTTGGATTTCTGGATTGGTATTTCATTTGAGTGGATGATTGCTATCCTTGTCAGTTCCTACTCAATGAGACACAGTTCTCTTATTTCTGGCCATGACCTATAAATTATTTTGCAAAGTCATGTCATGTTTTCAAGCAGGACATGCCATTGTTCTGGTATGTTGCAATGCTGTATCTGAAGCAACTAAGTGCATTTGAACATGCCAGAGGACAATTCAGTTACAAACCTGTTTTAACTATTAAAATAATGTGCAAGGTCATGTCGTGGTCAGGGTACCTAAAGAGTTCAGCCATGTTATAGCGAGACAGTTATTCCTCTTTTTCAAGGACTCCATAATGATTGGTAGGGTACCAAATGACTGGCATAAAGCTTCAGTAGTACCAGTATTCAAAAAAGGTTCAATATACCAACCGGGGTACTACAGACCACTCAGTCTAACATCCATAGTATGCAAACTGTTAGAGGGAATGATAAAGGACTACTTAGTAGAGTTTGTTCATGAAAATGGTATAATAAATGATAACCAGCTTGGGTTTAGGAAGGACCGTTCTTGTCAGACCAACTTACTAACATTCTATGACAGGGGTCGGCAACCCCGGCACGCGTGCCCAGCCTGGCACGTGAGAGCTTGACAGCTGGCACGCGAGTCGACCTGTTTGCTTGTAGTTGACAGCTCCCTCGAGCCGACTGTCAATTACATTTACTGGCCCACCCACCTCAGTGATGTGGCTGAGCGGCATAGGAACGCAGAGGCGCGCTGACGGGGCCCTCAGCTCGTTCTACGCATGCTCCTGCCTCTTGTGCCAGCCCGCCAGACAGGAGCGGGCTCACCCACGCCTGATGTGATGGGACGGAATTACTGTACCCTGCCCGACAGGAGGAATCTACTGCACACACTGCCCCAGCACAGAAAAAGGAGCCAGACGATCAACTGGAATATACAGCAGGTACCACATGTATACTGCTCACATACATAAACATTAACCCTCGTTCCAGCACACATGCATACCCTCCCAAATGCACAGCAGTATATTGATCCAAAAATATAGATGTGCTGCTAATGGCAAGGTAAACACATTAAAAAAATGTGAGTAACTTACTATTAGCAGTACAGCTATGAGTGGAAAAATGTAAATGTATCTAACACTATGGCGTGCTATTGTTCACTGGCACCCGGTTTTCTGATGGTTTCAAAAATGGCACTTGGTGTGTAAAAGGTTGCTGACCCCTGTTCTATGAAGAGGGGAGTAGAGATCTGGATGGCAGAAGGCCGGTGGACGTGGTATATCTGGATTTCGCCAAAGCTTTTGACACGGTACCACATAAACGTTTACTACACAAGCTAAGGTCTATGGGCATAGATGAAATGGTGTGTACATGGATAGAGAACTGGCTACAGGAACGTGTCCGGAGAGTATTGATAAATGGCTCTTTTTCACATTGGTCTAAGGTCAGGAGTGGCCTGCCTTAGGGATCTGTGCTGGGCCGCATACTATTCAACCTGTTTATTAATGATATCAGGGAAGGTGTTAATAGCCATGTTTCCGTGTTTGCTGATGATACTAAAATCGGGAGGGTAATAGACATGGACTTAGACACTAAAACATTACAGGAGGACCTGGATAAAATAGGGGAGGGGCAACTATATGGCAGATGAGGTTTAATGTTGATAAATGTAAAGTAATGCAATTTGGGGTTAAAAACAGGCAAGCGGAATACACATTAATGGGAACTCCACTAGGGAAGTGAGACATGGAAAAGGATTTGGGGGTCATTGTAGACCACAGATTGAGGAATAGCTTGCAATGCCAGGCTGCGGCAAACAAAGCGAGCAGAGTTCTGTCTTGTATTAAAAGAGGAATGTACTGTAGAGAGAAGTCTATAATTTTGCCACTTTATAGATCGCTGGTTCGGCCTCACCTGGAGTATGCTGTTCAATTTTGGTCACCAATCCACAGAAAAGATGTCCTTGAGCTAGATAGAGTCTAGAGAAGGGCAACAAAACTAATTAAAGGGCTGGAGGACCAAAGCTATGAGGCAAGGTTACTAAATTTAACATGTTCATGCTGGAAGTGAGGAGATTAAGAGGGGACATGATTTTGATGTACAAAACATTTGGTGGAGAAAAGATTTATCCACACAGGGCATAGCGGCTTCTTTTCAGTCAGAGTGGTTAAATTTTGGAACTCTCTGCCACAAGCAGTGGTATCAGCTGAGAATAATGATTCATTAAAAAATCAATTAGATACCTTCCTCAGAGACCGTAACATACAGGGGTACAGGTACTCTTAAAAACTAGACCACACAGGAACTCCCATACATGCACGCACGCACACACAACACACAGAGACACACAAAGGTTGAACTTGATAAATCTGTGTCTTTTATTCAACCTCAAATATTATGTAACTATGTAGGCTTAGCAGAGGTGGACCTTCCTTGGAAATTTTTTTATAAGGTGGAGTTTCCTTGTTCTCTATTGTGTCCTGTGGCACAGTAATTAGTTGTAAGGGCACATCTTAACTTGTATTGCATGTATTCACGGTATTGTATTGCCTATATTCTTGAAGCATTCGTGAGCCGCAGTCATTACACACCAGCTGCTATCGAGGAAAACTGAAGAAAGCTTTGGAAAGATGGTGACAATGAATCTTCTATTCCTGGTATTCATTTTCTGCAGCGTATTCTGTTCAGTGGTGGCAGGTGAGTGAATTGTACAGTTATGGTTCTTTCCATATCATTTCCATTCCTTTTGTAAAAAATTTTGATGGAATCATAGATAATCTGTACACAGTCATGGAAGGGATGCGCTTCACTCTCCTAAGCATCTAATTCATATCACACAAACAAAACTTTTATTACAAGTCTAAAATTGTTTTTGTTCCCAAAGGTTTCCTTGTATAACTCCCTAAAGTGATATTAAAGTCAAAATGTCAAATGATGAAATCACTTACAATGGACGCTGCTTCTTGATGTGTAAAAGTTTCGTTTTCTGCAAAATCAGCTGGTCCCTTGAGCACCGGCCCTGACATGCTGTTAGCCCTGATAGCCTTGCAGGTTCCTATGGAGCCACCCTTGTGAGTGCTAGTAAGGTGTGTGTGTGTGTGTCTCCACAAGCACAAAGGCAAAGCAAGGCAAGACAATCCACCCCCCACCCCTCAAGCTAGTAAATGGATGGCTGCTGGATACTGCTCTGTCCCTTGTGATCTTGTACTGGAGAGGAAGTTTAGGGAAGCCAAGCTGAGAGGGTTGGAGCTGTTCAAAAACATGATGACTGTAAGGGTTTGGGCACAAATGTAAAGAAATACTTTCTGCACAAATTGTAAAAAAATTATTTCTGGTGGTGCTACCCTTCCCTCCCCCTACTACTCAGAACACACACCTTGATCGGGGCCACACTATCAGTCAGTGCAAGAGCCTTTACTAGATGAACTTAGTTGTGGACCTCTCCCTTCTCTCCCCTATTCTCTGAACCTTGTTCCAGGATCCCAAAGGGGAGCTTTCTGTTCTCTCCTAGACAGACGAATCTTTCAAGCCTCCCACTTCATGGTGAATGGTTCCTGGATCCTCATTGAGCTTCTTACCGCTCTGGATGGTACATACGGCTTGGACCTCTGGAGAGCCCTCCAGTTGAGACACTTCCTGCTTTCTTTGCCCTCCGCGGGAGAAATTGGTTGCCGGTTATCTCCTTTTGAACAGTTATTCGACTACCGAGGTCCTGTCCGCCACTCCCTCTCTAACATTTATTCCTTCCTTTCTAGTCCCCCTACCAATGCTAGGGCTCCTTTCTTGACCAGATGGGAACATACCTTCAGATGAACAATGTGAAAAAATAATTCACTTTACCTTGAAGTCCTCCATCTGTTCAAAACACCAGGAGACTAACTATAAACTTCTCATTAGATGGTACCGGACACCGGCCCTACTACAAAAGTACTATCCTGGGGTCTCAGCTGTTTGTCGGGAGTAGGCAGCATGCTTCACATCTTTTGGACATGCCCGCGACTATCGCATTTCTGGTCTTTGGTCCGTACCATAGTTCAGACGTTCACGGATACGGATCTTCCAGATGACCCGTCTTTTTTTTCTTTTTTTTAACTTAATCAATTTTTATTGATTTTGAAAATTCTGCAAACGTAAATATCTTAAACAAAAGTCCAAAGCTGTACGTACAGCTTAATAAAGTCAGATGTACATGGAAATCAGACATTGTTGTGTATAAGTACAGACATATAAAACGTAAACATTAAACCGTGTAACCGTGACTTAATCAACGGCTATCGTATATCTTTAAAAGGGGGTGGTTAAACCACCCGTCAGGCACTGCCCGGAGACAGATCCAGTGAAGGAGACACATTGCAAGGGAAGAGGATAGGGGGGAAGCGCAGTAGGGGGAAGAGAGGAGAGCGGGAGTGGTGGGGAAGTTAGATAATGAGCGAGTCCAAATGAAAGGTTGGTGACATGTAGGAAGCGATCCAAGGTTCCCAGATTTTTTCAAATTTTGTTAGAGTATCTGACTGAACAGCTGACAATTTTTCAAAAAACATTACTGGCGAGACCCTAGGTTTGACCTCCGCAAAGGGGACCGTGGGAGATCGCCACGAGCGTGCAATCACTCTCCTGGCTTCAGTTAAAATATGAGTGACCAGTTTAAACTGGGTCCGCGTGCATGACACTGGCTGTTTGCCAAGCAGTGCTTCAATCGGGTTTTTACGGAATGAGTGACCTGTCACCGTATAAATCAACTGATACACCCTAGACCAGAAACGCCGAATCCTGGGACACTCCCACCATATATGAATGAATGAACCCTCAGCCTGGCATCCTCTGAAACATGATGGAGACCTGGAGGGAACCGCACGGGAGATACGGAGAGGAACCAAATACCACCTTAATAAAAGTTTATAATTTGCTTCCACTGCTCGCACACTAGAAGAAATCTTTGCAGTCGTGTACCAGATCTGGGACCATGTGTCCATTTCGATGGGTCCCCCCAGTTCCTGTTCCCATTTTGAGGTGAGAGATAAGGCCCGGGCCCTGTGAGTGAAGCAGCAATAATTTTTCGAATGGGGTCATTACTGTCAGGTCGCGGGTCAGTCCCGCACTCTGCTGCAAATAGTGTTTGATCTGTATAAATTGGAACAGGTCTCTGGTGGAAAGCTGATGTTTCCCTTGGAGCTCCGGGTATGAGACAATACCTGTTGAAGTATAAAAATGTCTAGCCTGAACCAGGGAATGCGCCCTCCATCTATTAAATGCTGTCGGATTCTCATAGCCTGGGGGAAACAGGGGATTCCCCTGTATGGATAAAAGGGGGGTGTGAGGAGAGATCCATTTCTGAGTCACCTTAAGGGCGTCCCAGAGACAAAGTGTATGTTTCGTGATTGGGCATGTGACTATTTTCCGCATTTTGGGGGGTAACCATGGCTAATTATTTAATAGTATGGGGCTGCACAGATATGCCTCCACGGAGACCCACAAAGGGACCTCTTTCTCCGAGTGCCACATAACGAGGGGGACCATCTGTGCAGCCGCATAATATTTTTGAAAGAGAGGGAGGCCTAGGCCCCCCCGTATTTTGGGTCGGTATAGCACCGAACGAGCTATTCTGGGAATGGAGCCAGACCAAATAAACCGTAGGATATGGCGCTGGAGAAGACGTAATCTAAAAGCTGGTATAGGTACAGGTAAAACTCTGGCGAAGTATAAGAATTTAGGTAGAAGAGACATCTTCACTGCTGTGATTCTGCCTAGCCAAGTTAGATGATGTTTAGCCCATGAGCCCAGTAGCGAAATCAAGTGAGCAAATAATTTGGGGTAATTGGCATTATACAGGGCGTCCCACGTCGGAGTTATATGAACCCCCAAGGAGGGAAGAGCATGTGGTACCCATGCATAAGGAAAGGAGGACTTCAGGGAATCACAAAGGAGAGGCGGCAAAGATACATTGAGTGCTTTAGTTTTATTCGGGTTAACCTGTAAGCCCGATATGGTTCCAAATTGGTGTAATAGGGGTAATAGGTTGGGCAACGATATGAGGGGGTTGGAAATCATTAATAGCGCATCATCCGCAAATAAGCTAATCTTATGATGGTACCCTGCCACTTCTATGCCTTGGATGTCATTGTGAGATCTAATAGCTTGGGCTAATGGCTCAATCGCCAGGGCGAACAGGAGGGGGGAGAGAGGACACCCCTGCCTGGTCCCCCTGGATATCGGAAACGTCTCCGATCTGAAACCCTGGTATTGCACATACGCTGAAGGAGTAGAGTATAGGGAGTCCATCCAACCCAGAAATGATTGTCCAAAGCCCCAATGCCGAATCACCCCCCTCAGGTAGTCCCAGCTAATAGAATCAAACACTTTGGTAATGTCTAAAGACAACAGCATGAGCGGGGTACGTCTAGAGCGGGCAATATGGAGGAGTAGAGATATACGACGTATGTTATCTCCCGCCTGACGTCCCAGCATGAACCCTACTTGATCCTTAGACACCAAAGCCCGTACATAAATATTCATACTTACAAAATTTTCGTAAGTAATTTGAGATCAATATTTATTAATGAGATGGGCCTGTAGTTTTGACCCGTCTTTTTTTTTTTTTTAATACATAAGGCCCCATTCACACTAAGCGATTTCGCAAGAAGTCGCCGGCTAATGCTATTCAATGGAGCTGTCTTAGCTCCATGTCGCTCGTCGCGGTCGCAAGTCGCTTCTACAGGACCCTTTTTTCGGCAGATTTTGCTTTTTTCTAATGGAGCCCGACGGAGAAGGTCGCGCTACCGTCGCTGGAACGTCTCCCCGAAAGTCGCGCTATCCCGGCCGCGGGAACCGCTGCAAAAGGTATGTCGCTTAGTGTGAATGGGGCCTAATATGTACATGACAAGAAAAGCCTATTCCCGATCTGTAGTTTGCCACCTTTTGGATGCAGCCACATCCGAGCCTGAGGAAGAATACCTCGCCCCCCTCAGTGTCTATGTGGTTCCGGAGGGTAGAAGACATCAGAGAGGTGGAGGACTTAGTTTTGTCCTCAGACAGTAGGCATGAGAGGTATTACAGGACATGGTACTATTGGATGGAATTTAAGGAGTCCGGAGAGGGACAGGCACTGCTACGCTAGTTTAAATCTTCTGGACACGGGACGGACCTCATTACAGCCCTCGAGTGTGGAGGTGAGTTCCTCCGTACATACCTTCTCTCTACACATTCCCAGCACCTTTTGATGAATATTATTATACCAGAATATATATAATACAACCAACAGCTTGTGCAGAGCTTTACAAATTAAAGGGAGACAGTACAGTTACAATACAATTCAAGACAAGGGGGTTTAGGAGGGCCCTTCTCACAATCTATAAGGGAAGGGTAAGTGATACAAAAGGTAATAACCGAATCCTGCTATATTTGGGATCATCCTTATCGTGTCTTTTCATATATTAACTATTAGTCACTATTAACAATAATTGAACATTGGGATTTTTAAGGGTTAACGCTATGGGATCCTATTTAATTCACCTCTTTTTTCATATATTGATAGCTTGTAGATATTGCATTGACTTGTTGTTCCTCCCTGGTGGTCCTCTGCAGCCCCTCCCCCCCAGATCTTGGATGTCCATGCGCTTATGGTGAAATTAATCTTTTTTGAGAAAACTATATATACACTTCTATGTAGGAGTATACTTGGGATACTTTTCTGATATTTATGTACGGCATGAAATGTTTAATAATTTGGTTTATTTATGTAAATTTAGAATATTGACCTCCTGTTAACTCCTGAAGAAGTGGACCGTTGGTCTAAGAAGAGCAGTTTTCTCATCAAGCTGTTCCCGCCATGTTCTTCATTCATATTTTGGATATTGTTTATTAATATAATAATATAAGATGATCTGTGTCCATATAATATTATCAACAATGTGGTGGGTTTGAGCCACGAGGTGTTTGTTTAAAGCATTTAGTGTGCAATCAGAATATAGTTTGAGTGCCAACATGTGGTTGGCTTTTTATACATTGTTCTATTAAATACTTCTTAAATGACACAGGTGTTGAATTTTTATGTTGGTACCTTTTATACCCTGTGTTCTAACTCCTACTTCTGTTACAAGTGTACTAATCGGTTTCTTTAGGAGGGGGTCTCTCTTTACTCCTCTTGTTTGTATTGTCAGTCTGTGATCAGGTGTAGTAATAAGTTATACAATATCTGGTGAATATTATTTTTGTGGTTTCAGAATCTGTTACGGAACTACCGGATCCCATTTCTTCAACCGCAGTTCCTACAGGTACTGACTAATGTTTTTCTGAATGTCTAGAATGTCATTTTCATACACACTTTTAAGCTTCTATGTTTTGTAAATTGTTCTCAATTGCTTTATCTTTTTTTCAAAAAGTTATTTATTTGTTCTTTCTACTAGGGATGCACCGATACCAAGTACCATACTCGGTACAAGTACAAGTACAGATACTTTTCGAGCTCCAAGACTAAACTAGAGAAAATTTCAAAAGTTAGGAGACAGCTGTCATTTGTAAGGAGCACGCAGAGCTTCTGGGATTTGTACATCTCTGTTTTTCTGTTTTTCTCTGTTTTTGTAAATATATAAGGGATGCACCGATATCGGTTTTGCAAGAACAAGTACTGATACTGGCCCAAGTACTCACAGATACAAGTACTGATACATTTTTGTTTATAGTCATATGACAGTTTTTTTCTAAAACAATACAGACTAATGATTTCAGGACAGTGGTGGGGCGTCAGAGCCAGGTCCCAGCTGCAACCGCTGCAACCCTGGGAGTTATCATGAAAATGCCAAGTATCGGCACTGGTACTCAAAAAGTATCGGTGCAAAAAAAATTTTGTTTCGTT